AAAAAGTGGTTTTGTTCACCCTGAATCAATGCATTGCTATTGAAGCGTATGTTTCTCTAACACACACAATAAACTGGCACTTGGCAGGAATTTCAACAAGTGAGCAGGGCCAGCCTGCCATCAGAACAAAGCTGAGGGAACTGAAGCAAGCCAGATTTAAATGAGTTAATTTACAGAGAAGTCTTTCTCTAAAGGCTGTTACTTAATACAAAACCAGCTGTCCTCCCCTTTGGGTGCTAAAACTGCCTCCCCCCTGGCTGGTATGCACTCAGAGAAGCATGTCTGGTCTAAGAGAACCAGAGAACCAACTTACAACTGCAATAAATGTTGCGGTCTCTGAAGTACTGCTCTTACCTGGATAAGGTGTTCAATTCACCCTCCCTCTAGAAGGCTCAGCCCCACCACAGTTCCTGCCATCCATGCTGACACTGGCCACAGGGAATTCCAGGCTTTGAATTCAGCTACCTTCAGCAGCTCTGATCCCCTTCTGATAGTGGGCTCAGCACCTAGTCATGCTGACTTGACCAACCCCAACACCAGCCTCAAAGAGCCAGGTTCTAGCTCTTGACCCAGCCAGTGGCTAGTGCCTGCTCCTCTGATGGAATGGTGGGCTCAAGCCCATCTTCCTCTCTGATAATGAAATCCAGCTCCTCTAAATGGAACTTCTCACCTAAAAGAAGAAACACGGCGAGTGTTTGTGTACGTACATGTCTTTCCACACTCCTGGACACGTGAAGAGCATCACTCCTTGGGAGGTGAGACCAAGAGACAAGAGCCCTACAGAGCTGTTCTCAACACTGATTGGGCCATTTGTTATAATCACTGGGAGTGATGGGTAGGTAGGTTGCTTTATAAAATTTCCAATGCCCACAAGAACTTTCAATTCTACCTCAATTGGTCTAGAATGGAGCCTGAGCATCAGAATGTTTTGAAAAGCATCCCAGATAGTTTTAATATGCAACTAGGGCTGAGAAGCACTGATTTAGAGAGAAAAAGGCAGAGACCATCAGCTGAGACTCCCCTGTATACCAAGATGGAGGAGAACATACAATTTAAAGCAGTTCCTACTCAGGCCCCTTTCCTGGGTAAGATAATCTCTGTGGCCTACAAGGTAACCATTAGAAAAGCATGTTGAATTCTGGTACCATGTTTCATGCAGACAGTGCCTCTTTAACCAGTCTGAGCCTCTGTTTCCCCAACTATTAGGAAAAGAGCTACTCTAGATTCACTTGGGTTACTTCTCTCATCTCCCATTTTCCAGCACTATGCATCTTTCTTCATCTTTCACTTAAATGCAGACTGTTTGTTTATATATTCGACTTTCTAGGTCTCCAAAAATGCTGTACGTGTTGCCTTAAAATTAGATTTGGATGGTGTCTGCCCTCTCAGTAAATAATAGCACAGAAACTATAAGCTCTGTAATTTAACTAGGGTACATGACACTGATAAGTGTGACAGTCCCTAACACATAAAATACTCTATTGCTGGGACCAGAGCTAACCATTCCACTGGGGAATGCTTGTGCTGAAATATATAGATCCTGCCCCTTGAATTCAAAAGTCAGACCAGCAGCTCTCTGCTGCACTCCACGATGCTTTCCATTTTTTATTCTCTCTGAGCTTAGTTTAATATCTACTTATCAAGAAGAAGATTCATTTTGGAACTATTTTCAGAACAAGTATAAAGACATCCTTAAGGATATATTAGCTACATTACTTAATCCAATGAAATACATAAATCTCTCACCCTGCAATAAATTCAGCACATAAGAAGGCAAGCAGTCTCTCAGATAAGCCAACTTGGATAAAAAATAGCATGGAAATATACAAATGGCCAGGGTATATGGCAGAATTTGGAACAAAGCAAGTCTCTGGAAACCTATCTACAATGATTTAGTTATGGAAAGTACCAAATAATTTTGTGTGTGTTATTTCAGAAAACTTAAACATCTAGCAAGCCTAGATCACAGCTGAGTTCAAGACCTCCATAGTCAACTGGTCATCTCCACCTGGCCATCTTAAAAACCCTCAAACTCAGCATGTCTACATCAGAATTCATCACCTGCCCTTCTGTTTTTGTATGTTTTATCTCAATTAATAAGGCCTTTATCCACCCAGTTATCCAGTCAGACACCTACTAGTTATTCTAGTATCCTATCTCCCTTCAACCATCTCCCCAACTCCTTCCAAATCCCTAAGTCCTAAGATTTGATTTTGTGCACACACTCTTATTTGTCTCTTCTATCACAAACCATAGCTCCCATTTAAACATGTTGCTTCCCAGACTCCTCCAGTGGCCTCCTAACTGCTCCCCCTGTGTTAAGTCTTGCCCTCTCCAATCCGTCCTTTTATGTTCTGCCACAGTAACCTTTATGAAACAATCCTGGTCACATTGCCCCTCTCATTAAATCCTTTCACTGGCTCCCGATTGTCTACAAATAACATTCAAGGTCAAAATCAGGGCATACAACCCCTACAATCTGATCTCTCCAACCTCAGGTCTCCAGGGCCTCACTTTGAACCCTCTGCTCCTGTCTGATGAGTTAGCTACTTGTAGTTCCAAGCACAACAGCCTGCCTCCAATCTCCTTACATCTATTTGGGATGTTCTTTCTGGTGGAATGTCCCTCTACCTTTCTGCTCTCAGCAAAATATTCTCATTTCCTGGGCCCACCTCCTCCATAAAACCTTTCCCCACTCCCCATCCCAAAGAAAGAACTGGGTAGCCCTGTCCTTGAGCCCCTGATCAAACTTCTCTCTCAGCATCTACATTATTACACTTATTTAGTAACAACTGTGAGTTCCTAGAAGACAAGAATTATATCTTATCTTTTAAACCTCAGTGACTAACTAGCAAGGCTGCTGATGCACAGGAATTTAATAAATATTGGTTAAATGAATGAATGTTTCAATGATGGCATTCTAACAACTCAGATCCTTTGCTTTCGGCTACTTAGGAACTGAACGGCCTCTTTTTCCATTTGTGAGTCATTTGTAGAGGACCAAAAATTAAATCAGTCCAGGCAACACATCATCTTCTTATCGCCTGGGAAATCATTTCTTTGTCTGTATTCCCAAAAGAAGGGTCATGTTTCAAGATATTCCAAAAGCTGATAGTGTGAAACTATCAAAATGAGTTACTCCCAGTCCCTGGCCCTCGCTGTTTTAAGTGCCCTCTCCCTGGCAGTGATGATTATTTAGTGAGGCACAGATGGAGACACTAATTAAAGCAGAATGACTGTGGCATAAACCAACATAACGTATGAAATCTATCTCCAAGTCCCCTGCTCATGTAGATGAAAAACAACACTGGGCATGAAAACTGACTTCCCTGGATTTGTGGCTTCTAAGATAATGAAGGAGTCACATAAAAATAAAGGCAGCATCCTTGATTCAGCAGCGGGCAGCCCCTGTACCCAAAATAGAACTTCTGGAAGGCTCTGGGCCCACCTAGAATTTCATCTAAGATGTCAAATATCTGCAACAGTGGCAGCAACTTAATACCTAGCAAATACTCTCTCCTCCAAGTGTTGATTTCTTATTAGAAAATGAGCAATTTAAATAAATGTTTCATTAACATAGTGTTTTCCTGCTTGATGCTAATGCAATTTGTTTTCCCCAATTCTCTTCCATGGAATTATTTCCATGCAGTCCTCCACAGGACAATCTGAAACTCCTTTGGTCCCTAATAGACAATCCAGGAATCCTAGAAACCATCCAAACAACCAAACAAATAAATGAAAACCCTTACACTAAAAGAGCTATTCAAACCCATCTGTTCTGGACCACACATCACACATGATACAGAACAGGACGAACTCTCCTGACCACCTCAGTGGTGCTGGATTTGTACTGATGGTAGCAAAGCATCATTCAAAGGGCACTGTTGGTTCGAGACAGAAGTGGGAGGGGTGGCTTATTCAGGAAGAATGTGTTGGTGTGACATTTTGTTTTAAGGCCCTACAAGGCTTGTTCTCTTTCTGTTTTGCTTATCTGACAGGATTCTTGCTCTATGCTAGTTCCAAACCCCAAAAATTTCAAGGATATTGCTAACATCTTTTATTAATAGAAGTTCTTAAAATTTTTCATAGCACAATGCTCAGAAACACTCTAAACAGGCAAAAGCAGGTACCATATAAGGGTTTGTTCCCCCAAACCTGGTGAGACATAGGGACTAGCTTGATCATGATGCATACCACATTAATGAAAGGTCATCTTTTGGAATAGTTCTGTGTGTGCCATTATACTAAAGGTAAGGTTCTGATTTGGTTCTGTTACACATGGGGAGAAAAAATAAAACTCAATGAAGAGGTGAAGTGCTTAAAAAGTGAATTGTATGGAACTTTCTGGGTGCCAGGTGCCATGTGTGTGGCAGAAAATGGAAGTCCCATCAAAGAGTATAGAAATAACACTGGTGGGGTTGACATTCTAGGCTCTGCAAGATATTGAACAAGTGACTCTATTCTCTGAGCTTCATCTCCTTATTATAAAATAAAGCAACAACAATAACAATACCAGCGGCAGTGATGGCAGCTACCCTTTACTGAGCATTTACTAGGTAGCAGGTACTGTTAGAAGCTCTTTACAAACACTTGTGAAAGCACCATCTCACTTAATCCTGAGGCCATATGTAGGGAGCTATTATTAGCTTCATTTCACAGAAGAGGCTCAGAGCCCAGTAACTGGCCCAAGGTCACCACTATAGTGGCAGGATCTCAGTTCAAAACCAAGTCTACTTGACTGCTGTGATCGTAGGAAAAAAAAACTACCTCAAATGACTGCTGCAAATGTTCTAAGACAATACGCACAGTTGAAAATTGTTCTCAAAGAACACTACATCAATGTCAGTCGTCAATGACAGAGCCCACTGCTCCCTCTGGCCAGTTTTGATCACTTTCTTCGAACTCTGGGAGGCCAGCACCCACAGCCTTCTCTCTCCCTTGGATTAGGAATGGATGATCCCAAGGCACCTGGGGAAGAAGGCCATGACTCTGGGACTTACTTTCTGAGAACGGCTATCTCATTCTCTATGCTGCTTTCTTTGCCCTTCAGCGCCTTCTTAGGAATGCATTTCACCGCAAAGAGCTTTCCAGTTGCCTTCTCTTCTGCTAAAACCACTTCAGAAAAGGCCCCGCTGTGAAGAAAGAGGAAGAAAAAGAGCAGTTTAGATTCAAAAGTTAGGGGTTCCAAAGGTTCCTCTAATTCCACTGCCAAAGTTTGAGCAATAAGAGCGATATGAATGACCCCTAGCATCACTGTTCCTTTATTACCAGCAATACTCCCAACCAAACTTCTTTATGCAAAGAAGTACACACACACAAATGTGCCCTCATGCAAAGGACATGTGGATGTCCACATGGGTTTGGCTGCCCTCCCAGTGCCACTTGTCACCCTGTAGAACAATGTGGTATCCACTTGGGAGCAAACAGAGATGCTCCCAGCAAGGTTCCTACAGAGAAACATTATATCCATCTGAAGTTGTCAGTAACCGCCCTCCCCCCCCAAGGAGATCAGAAGTCATATATTTTTTTTTTTAATTCATTTTATTTTATTTTTATCCTCACCCGAGGACATTTTTCCATTTTTTGTACAGACAGAGTGGGAGGGAGAGAGAGGAAGAGAGAGAGAGAGAGAGAGAAACATCGACGTGAAAGGGACACATCGAGTGGCTGCCACCCGCACGACCAACCAGGGCCGGGGACAAACTGCAACCAAGGTACATGCCCTTAGCGGGAACCGAACCCGGGTCTCTCCGGGCCGCAGGCGGGCGCTCTAACCACTGAGCCAAACCGGCTAGGGCCAGAAGTCATATTTAAATGTCTAGATTCCTCCCCAGCTCTTTCATCCCAAGAAAATTTCAGAGCACTTCACAAATATTTAATTAATTCTTGCAGATAGGTTAAGAATGTGACTAAAATCTGAGTTAGTGCAACATCGGGTATTGCCATGGAGTTAATTAATTGGGGGGGGGGGGGGCATGCAAGACTTCAATAAGCAGCTTGTTTCTTTATTGAACCAACCAAACAAAGGCACAAATGATGTCCTGAGTGGGAGACTTTCCTGCCTGAATATATAAATTTAACTCTGCAAGGGCAGAGCAACAAGCTGAAAATGTAACCAGGACTTGAAGCCAGACAGCCCATTTCTCCAGAGAGGTCCCCTGTGGTCAGTGAGACCCAGAGCCAGTGCCTCAATGGACACTTTATCTCCCCTCCAAACCCCCACCCAGCCACCTCCTGTATTTGTTGCCTGAGTGCCATGCTCGGACTGGGGACAGAACATCCCCAGTGACTGTGAAACAAAAACAGGCTCCTCCACAGTCCACTCCAGATCTCAGCAACTTGGATCTATGCACACAGGTCAAGGAAAACCACAAGCCACTGAGTCAGTCTTTGTCCCTAGACTTTCTCTTATAGCCTCAGAGAGATACCACTAAACATGGCTTCTACACAGTTATCATGAGAGACAACCCCTCCTGCGTCAAAAAAAAAAACAGTGGAAGGACCAAGGTCATCCTTATACACATGCCTCAGGAGTCTTTGTTCTTTAGTCAACATCAAAGAGATGCCTAAACAAGGAGAATATAATTTTCTCTCCTTCCTCTTTCCCATCTGAAGGGATACACATCTGCCATGGACCAAAGGAGGACACGTGGATATTTTTTAAATCCTTTTTAGTGAGAAGGATTCATTCTACTTAGTACAATTAACTGAGTGTCTGGAACAGCATTCCTACTGGAACATTAACTCCCATGAGAGAAGTCTGTCTATCTCCAAGGTCTATATCTAATTACATAAACCTGAGGGGCAGAAGATTCCTCAACAGAATCAAGTGGAAAATGTCAGAACTGAGGTGTTCCACCCAAATCCACAATAATCAGCCAAGTAAGATTCTCCCCTTCCAGTACCACATGCCTCACATGGAACCAGCCAGAAAAGCAACTATGAATATACATGAATTATACGTGAAAATCCACAATAGATTTATCAGAGTGATATATGGAATAGGACATTCCCAGTAATACTTGGTCACTGTGGATGACTTCTGCCCAAAATGACCAACTTCAGGGAGCCCCCCAACCCAGGGGCTGTCCCTCCCCCTGGCTTCTTTCTCAGGGACGAACCCAAAGGATTCATCTCAAAGTGAGTGAGGATTCTCAGATGAAAGAAACTGTGGACCACTACATACATACTCCCTCTTGCTATCCTCCAGGAGGCAGAACAAGAAATATATTGGACAGAAGAAAGATCAGTGAGGAAACACCAGGATCTTAAAACCATGGGTGATGAAACCCATGCATTCATTCTGTTTCCCTATTTGCCATTCAGGTTCCTGATGCTGACGACACCACAGTGGTTTCTCTCCTGAGTCTGTTGGATTTACTATGTCCATTTTCCAGGAGGTGAAGAAGCCCTTCAGCAGCAGCAAACAAGCTGTCAGAGCTCTGACGGAGAACTGCTGTAACCAGGAAGCTACGGGTTCACACAGTCCAGGAGACAGCTGCATTGCCCTGCAAAGGGGATTAACAACCCTCCCTCCCCTCACGTAAGGAGCAGCCCACACTCTAGTACCAGATCGTTGGAAGAGGGAGAGAGGAGAGGTAAGCACACGCTCAGTAGAAGTCAAGATAGCATAGGGGGAGGTGCTTCTATGAGGCATGAGCAATAGAAGCCAAGAGGATGACTACAGAGGCCTGTCGGTCTGGCATGGAAAAAGAATAGATTGGTTAGGAGGTGGACCCATCAGAAGCCCACGAAAGCTTGGGAAGTTGATTGGTTAGTTTGAAAATAGCACCTGGTCCTTCCCAAACAAAATATTATAATCCCAGGTAACAAAGCTCTTCTTTCTCTCTCTTACCCAATAACACAAGTTCACCCTGTTAATTGGCACATTCTCTCCATAGCAACCATCCAGGTCTAGTAGCCGCCTGGGGCCCATAGCTGACTGCATGGGTTCCAAAGGACTAAGCTTTAATATGACACACAAACTCTTGGCACTGGCCTTTGTTTTGGCCTTGGTGAAGAAGAAAAGATTGGATTTTTTTTTTTCCTGTGATGGGATGGAAGGAGATGGGACATTGGAAACCCACGGGCAGCCTTCTACTTCCACCCAAATAAATCTTACCCTGCCACAATCTCCTAACATGGGTCCATGGAATGCTTTCCTTGTGATCCTGGGAAAGAACATGATTTTCACCAGAAGCAGTAACAGACTACAGCCAACAGAAGAGGTCTTGTGCTTAGCTGTAGCTATCAGGAGCCCACATGGGAAAAGCACCTCTTGTTCTGTGGATCATTCTGTCCCTGAGTGGGAAGTGAAGTTTTTGTGTGAAACTACCCCTTGACCACAACATAATGGGGAGGGAACTAGAGGTCACCATCAGATCCAGTACTGGTGGCTGCTGCAGGAAGGTAAGGTCACTTGGTAAGACAGCTCCTGGATCAAGAGCTTCTCTTTTTGGCCCTGACTTCAGGAGGCATGGACTATCTGTGGTAGTCCCCCATGGTAACACAGGACAGTGGGGCATAGATCCATAAAGGGCTTCATGAGCCAAACATCTGGAGGGGTTTGACAATGAGGCACCTGTGAAAGGGCACAGGGCAGACCCCAGAGGGCCTAGGGTGCCCCTCGTGACTCCAGGAGTCTCCATCAACAGGTACTGGGTAGTCACAAAGCCAGGGTTATACTATATAGTCCTATAATCTCAGACTGAAAGTCATCCTGCAATTTCACTTTTGGATATAACCCAACAAAACTGGAAGCAGGGACTCAAACAGATATTTGTACACCCATGTTCCCATTGGCATTATTCACCACAGCTAAAAGGTAGAAACAACCCAAATATCCATTAATGGATGAAAGGATAAATACATGTGTACAGACATACCATGGAATATTCAGCCATAAAAAGGAATGGAATTCTGACACAGACTGGAACATGAATGAACCTTGAAGACCTTATACTAATGAAATAGACCAGAATCAAAAGGACAAATAGTATATAATCCCACGTATATGAGGTACATAGAGTAGTCAAATTCATAGACAAAAAGTAGAATGGTGGTTGCCCAGAGCTGGGGAAGGAGAAAGGGGAGTTATTGTTTAATGGATATAAAGTCTCTGTTTGGGAAGATAACGTTTTAGAGATAGATGGAGGGGATGGTTACACAACAATGTGAATGTACTCAATGCCACTAAACTGTATACTCAAAAATGGCTAAAATGGCACATGTTATGTTTTTAGACATATATTAACACAATAAAAACATTAAAAGTCTGCCTGGTTCTACTACATGGCATTACCTGGAATAGACACATTGGAAAAATCTTATAATCCCTTTTACTCATTACCTCCCTAAAGAAGAAAGAAATTCTATGAATAACTATAGGGTACCAGATGTTGTATACCACTAGATATTTACAAAGGGCTCTGGCATATATCAACTAATTCAACAACCTCAAGAAGTGTATAAGAAGTTACCATCACTCCATTATACAGATGAAGACACTGAGGCTCAATCATACAGACAGTAATAATACACAAAAGAATATTTAAATTTCATACCAAAACCCCAGGTCCTTTTCAGTACAGTACACTGAGCTGGACTGATGCACATGGCTGGCTGGGAGGCTATGTCACAATGTTGAAAGGGGACAGCAATGGAGGAGGGTCAGATCCTACGTTTGGGGAAGCTGCCAACCTCCCTGGGGGTGCAAATCCACCTGCTTCCTCCTTTAGCCAAACACAATATTCATTTACCTTCTTCAAGCTTTCCAAAGACAAAGCTCTCTGTTCTTCTTAAGGGATATAAGATTAGCATAAATTGTTATTGTTCTTGCAATAAGTAGAAACCACTTGAAGATACTTCCCTGTTCCAGGAAAGCTAATTAAAAACATCAGAAGCAGAAACTCATGAATGAAGAGTTTGGGCACTTTCAATGTAATTACACAACAAAATGATATTTGTGTCCATGTGTCTCTGTGGGAGGCAGGAAGAGATAGGGAGCCAGAGGCAGGCTGGGAGGGGGCCTGTGGCAGGAAGGAAGACAGCAAGAAAAATGATTTGAGAGCCTATAAAACCTTCAGACAACCCAAAGAAAATAAATTCCCTGGGAACATAAACTGGGACAGAG